TTTTGGATTAAGATTTGGTGGAATATTCAAAATATCTTTAAGAAGAAGATAAAGTTTACACCGCAGTTATTTTTGTTAGGTATTATGGGAAATTTGGATGCCAAAGAAATGAATTTGATGTTGAATCTTATAACAGCTGCAAGATTATTGGTAGCTCAATATTGGAAGACGGATGGTTTGCCCACTGTAGAAGAATGGTTGATTAAAGTGTCAAATTTAGCGGAAATGGCTAAGATTTCTGCTTATTTGAAGGATCAGTCATATGAAAGTTATATTTCGGTATGGAGAAGATGGATAGATTATATTCAAAAAAAATATGGGACTGAAAAGTTCCATTTGGCTTTTGGGTAAAATTTTAAAATATTCTTATTGTTATTATTTTATTAAGTGCTTGCATAATAGCTTGTATGATTTTATTATAATTTCAACTAGTAGTGTTGTTTACTAGTTTGTTTGTTTTTTCTTCTTTTAACAATGTATTTAATTTTAATTTTAACTTATTTAAATTTATTTTTAAAATGAGTTAAAGTGTGTTATAGATTTGGTTATATAATTAGTTGGTTTAATGTTATTTAGATTATGATTATGATTTGTAACCCTGTGAACAGCTCTGGGAAGTGGGGGGGAGGGGGGTTTAGGGGTGGGGGGGATTTTTATTGTAAACTTTATAAAACTTTTAATAAAAAAAAGTTATTTTAATGTGGACAATTATAATAGTAGATGTTGCATTCTGAACAGGATTATGCTTTCATTAAATACACTGCAAAGATCTTCTCCTTTCTCACTGCCTCTTTCTTCATGAATATTTTATTTGCCAGAGCAATAACTCAAAACTCTATCTAGCCCTGTACAATTTATCTTCTTGTTGGCAGAGCAGGGCAAGCACAAGTACATTGTCACTAGTGAAAGTTAGGAATAGAGGCAGAATTGTTAATAAAGCTACCAAATTAGCAAGAAGTGTCTGGGCAATGGCTGACTTCTATTAAATCATAAGCCAATCCCACGAACTTTGCACAACACACTGAACCATAAATTAGCCAGCTACATTTTAGTCTACAGAGTTATACAAACCCATTCTCTGTCTTATTTGTGCATTTCATGTTCTGATGTCCTTGATGTTCACCTATAACTTTCCTCTGTTTTCTATCTCTTCATCTCCCTTTCTTCTCTTTAACTACAGATCTACTACAGAAAAATAAACTAAAATAGCAAGACTTTTTTTTTTTATTATAGAGGTCTAAGTTATCTGTCTGAAAGCATCCAGAGTCTCAACCACTTTTTCTCCTGAGGTCTGATATACTCTCTTGGCATAATAGTGTGCAGATCTCCAAGAGAACTGGGATACAAAATGGAAACTAAACAATTTGATCGTTATTTCCAAATGATGGATTTGAGTTCATGTTGCTCTGAAATCCACAATGATTTTGCTCTATAATCAAGTATATCCCCTCACTGAATCAAGTATTTTGTCCTGAGAAATTCTCCTCCAGTTTATTAAATAAGCCTCTGTATGTATGATTTGTTGGCCATTTAACTGAAAACTAGCTGTGATGAAGGTGCAAGTATATAGTTCTTACACTATTCAAGTGTGATGTAACTTTCATTAAATTACTATAATTTGGTGACCAGAATCACACGAGCAATAATTTTTCATTTGGTGCCACTATTTTCTTGATTGTTTCTTGCAATTATTTTAATGCCATTATTTCCCAACCAGATCTAGATCTTCACTAATGCCCAAACAAATTTGTTCAGAGTATGGGACCTGGGACCTTAAGAAGCTTTCTGCCCCAGCTACCGCTATGGGATGGGTACAAAGCCTGTGAATTCCCAGGAAGGGTAAGATAATAATTTACACACATTCACTAGCAGTACGTATGTCTATCTTATGAATATGAAGATAATTCTTGAGGGGAAAAAAACCGTGAGCTTTTTGCAAATGGTTGTAAAGAAAGCCCAGAATTACAGAGTTGGTTCAAAATCGACCCAAGAGAGTTTGTGCACTGATAGAAAGCTGTGATGCAGAATGAGATTCAGTTTTCCCTTCTGGGTTAGAATTTCAAGCAGTGAATTTCAGCAACAGTATCAGAAAGGCAACCCCCTTTTTTTTCACAATATGCTTTTAAAAAAATCCTTCAGTGTGTTAGGGCAGAGAATGGCCCTTTGACTTCAGCATCTCCAGTATTGGTGGATTCCTAATAATAGTTTTGCCTGTTCCAGCAGAAAGTTTGGGAATCATCGTAGGCAACAATTTCATGAAGATGCAGGTGGACAAAGTTATGTTTGGCTTTCAAACTTACTTTCTCCTTTTCTTTCTCTTTCCTCCCCTCCCTTTGAGCCAGCAGGTGCCCAACTTTCTGCATGAATTATATACTGTTGTCTGGGACAATGCAGAAATATTACTGGAATTTGCCCTTCTAATCCCAGAGCAGGCATACATTGGCGAAACGCTACTCATTCCACATTTTGCTAGCAATGTGACTGGGTTTTTCTGGATTTTGCTTCTGGGGCTAGCAGGCAGTCCTAGGAAGTGTCTTGAGTCAGTGGAGGAACAGAATTCTGCCTCACGGAGCTGGCAGTGTTGAGGAAATCTCCTTGCCGTCACTTCCAGAGCTAGCAGACGCTGGAGACATAATCAAAATCTTTGAAGGCATCCTGTTCCTTTTGAGTGAGGGGCCGTGATTCACGGGGTGGTGTCAGCACAGCTGCTTCAGCTGTAAACTCCTCATCGAAGTTGCTGATGTCTTCACGGCCCTTAATCACTGGCACAAAGGGTGGTTTGACCTTACGAGCCAGCAAAGCTTCCCATTCAATGCTCTGTGTACAGGGGGGAAAAAGTAAGAACCCTTGACTTCTTTGAGATGATTGTTAATATTAAATTAGAAAAGGAAATTATATAAATAAATAACACACTGAATAACTGAAAGCAAGAAAAGTATACAAAATAAGCTACAAGATGCTGGAAACATATGGAGCCTACAGCAATAATTAACAATAAAAAACCATCTGTGTCAGAGCAAGCAGCTTTCTTTTTTCAAAATCCTTATTTGGTGGCCATTTCTACTGTACTTCATTTGAGCTATAGATTTTAGATGCAGAAATAGTGCAGGAAATCTCCCACTTCAGAAAAAGAGAAACTGTCCACAGACAGTAAAAGTCTTTTGGGTGCAACAAGACTGCTTTTTTTTAATAGCATAAATGTGATCAGATATATGAAAGTAGCCTATGTTTTAATGGATTAAAATTTCTCTGCTTTTAAAGCAGACATATAAGGGATCTGCTTTTTATGCTACAACAGTGTGTCCTTCTCTAAGAAGGCACAAAGGAACACTGTCTTGGTTGCTCCAGTATAGCCCTAGTGAAGGATGATCTCAATTGATAGTTTCAGCCCAGAAGACAGTGCAGAACTTTCTTTGAAAGAATCCATAACTAACAATCTGAAGAAAGAATAGAAAAGGAACGAGGTACTTACTCTGAAAAATGGGTGCTTCTTCACATCCTCTGCATCACGCTCACTAGAACCCAGGCGCCTTTCTGGATTCCGACGCAGCAGCTAAATGAAAAGTGAGGTTGTCAACATCAAATCAATAAGGGCAGACAAAACAAGTCTTACCCACCACCTTCTCCCCCAAGCCCAGAACAGTATTTTACATGGCTATATCGCGTTTTATATTTTCCTGCCTACCCCAAATCTAATGTCAGTATGGAAACGTTGCAACTAAGCCTATGTTCATTATGTTCAAGTCTCCCTCCCTGTGTTCTCCTAATCCTACAACCTCATTAGAAGAATCTCCTCTCCAGTTTTAGTCCTAGCAAATTTACAGCTGAAGCAGGAGGCACTCACCCGGCGCATGATTCCAATTGCCTCTGTGGAAAGAAAACGGGGGTAGCGCACCTCATCATTGACAATGCTGTCAAATACTTCTTCTTCGTCGTCTCCTGGGAATGGGGACTACAACATCAATTGGGACAGAATTGGATATTAGTCTGGATTCTTCCATCATTCTCAGAATCAATTCCATCCATCCTCACCAATCCTAGATTCCCGGAAAAACTTGAGAAACTGGATCAGAATCTCCCAACCTGGATAGTTTCCAGTCTTAAACTCCCAGAGTTCAAGCAACAGCCATGTTTCCTGGGGAATTTTGAGAGTCTGAAGGCCACACACTTGGAAGTTGCCCAGATTAAGAAATACTTTAGCCTCTTGTTATCAAGCTCCCTGCCACACATATAAATACACCACTTAGTTTATTTTTCCCTTAATGTTTAATGCCATGACTTCAAACAGTAAAGACCCATTCCCAAGCATCTAATCCAAAACCCTTTTTTGTCCCACTTGCCATTTTCCGTAATTACATAAGGGTGACTTACCTCACCTACAAGCATCTCATAGGTAAGGACCCCCAAGCCCCACCAATCGACTGCTCTTGTATAGGAGGTGTCTGTAAGCACCTCAGGAGCCAGAAACTCTGGTGTCCCACAGAATGTGCTGGTACGGTCAGCATAGCCCATTCCTGGCAAACAAAAAGAAAAGCTGTATTAAAAATACAACTTCAACAACAATCCTCAACAAAAGTGTAGAGAACATCAAAAATTTCAAAATCTTCATAGAAAGTTCTGAAATAGGAACAGGATTGTCCACAGCCCGGGGGAGGGGGAATGGCATCCAAATGTGAGTGTAAAAATGAGCAATTGAAGTCCCAACCCACCCCTTAATGCATCACACAGGTAAAATGGTGCGGGACTTGATCACCTGGTTACATTTGACATTTTGATGTCATTGACCACAGCCCCTAGAAATCCCCCAGAATAGGGATTTTTCCCCAACATTTACTGCTAACTTTTATATTTTTATATATCACAAGACTACCAATACATGCATGATGATTGTACAAAAAATCTTGGCAAAATAGATGCTTCTCTCACCTCTTTTGCAGTCTCTGCTCTCCCTGACACCTAGGCTTTTTGGGAACAGCTGCAGATCAGCTTCTGCTAATCATGCCAGCATAATTCCGAGAGACACATTATGTTTTCATTTTATTTAAAATATTTATGCCAACTTTGGAGAAATTAACCCATCCCTCAAAATCACCTTCTTTGCAAAGGCCAAAATCTGCAATTTTCACAAAGCCGTCTGTGTCCAATAGTAAGTTATCCAGCTTCAGATCCCTGAAGGATAAGAAAACCTTTAAGTAAAATAACTACTGCATTTTGCAGGAATTGTTACTTACTGCCACAAAAATCAGACAGTGGAGTTACTAAACTTTTTACACAGGAATCCTCCATTATAACCTTAGCTCTTTGTGGCAGGATCTAAAGACATTACTACATTTCAAAAGTCATGTTTAGGAGAAATGGTTTGAACAACGCTTATCCTTGCTAAGTGAATGTAGTTACTCATATGAAAAGAATTGGAAATATGCAAATAGTTCTTCCTTACTGACTGCTCATTAAGCAACCAATGTTGTGACTGCATTGAAAAAGGAGACTAGTCCTCATACTTGCAACCGTTAGGGCCCCCCCCCACGTGATTGTAATTTGGGCACTTGACAATCAGTGCATATTTAAAATGGTTACAGTGTCCTGCAATCATGTGATTGCCATTTGATGACCTTCAAAGCAAAGTCAGTAGGGAAGCTGGCAGGAAGTCACAAGTTAAAGTAATATGACATGTTTAATAACCAAGGTGATTTGCTTAATAACTGCAGCTAGAACAGAAATCATAAGTTACTGCAGTCATATGACATTTCACTTTCCATCTCTGTCAGTAGCAATGGAGTTGCTGATCCCAACTGTGATCAGTAAATGAGGACTACCTATGGTGTAATAATATGATGATGTGAAACGATGCAGAAAAGACTATGAAAGAAAGGGAACATATGGAATGGCTTTAACAGTGATACGTACCTATATACTATCTTGTGGTCATGAAGAAACTGCAGGCCCAGGACAACACAAGCAGCATAAAACCTGAAGGTGAGAACAAACTGTGAAACCCCTGTAACAGAGGTAATGCCAGCTCTATTCTGGTAGTCAATAATGCTTCCCATTTGTGGGAGCTATAATCTAAGAGAGAATAATGATATAACAAATACAGTAAATGGGGCTGAAAAACTCAAGACCTAAATCTGCTCTCGGTATATTGGAAGGATAGCAACATTTAAAATGGCACCCAACAAGGTTCTTTCAGGAACCCTTTAAGATGCATTTTTTTTGTACTGTAAGGTCTGTCTTCTCTCTGATGTGGCACTTACGTTGCACGTGGCTCTGAGAAAACATCAGTGTGTATGTGCATCATGAGGTCTCCACCTGCTGTGTACTCCATGACAAAACAGACATGTTGCGGTGTCTGGAAACAGGCGAAAAGGTTCACTAGGAAAGGATGCCGTGCTTGGGTCACAATCTCAAAAATCCTCTTCTCACACATCAGGCTAGGAAGAGGGGGGAAAACTATTATCAGGATGGGAAACAGCTATATGCAATTCGATCCTCAGTCATGTTAACTATCAGTTTCATAATAGCAGTGGTGCACAACTACACATCATTAAAAAAGAACAGACCTTGACACACTTGCACATTTGAGTGATTATATATTTGTCTGGGCATTTTACCCTTTCCATTTCTAACTCACAGTTAACTCACCTCTCTACTTCATCTCTTGCAACAATATCCCCTTTCTTTAAGGCCTTAATAGCAAACAGTTCTTTTGTTCGGTGTAACTCAGATAACAACACCTATATAAAACATGAACAGAAGCAAAGTCGTTATTTAAGATATTGATCAGTGACTAAGAATAGTGGTCAGGAAATGCAAAGCAGGCTCACAGAGAAAAAAATATCTTTCAGCTCTGCATCAGGTTCATTCTCAGCTTGATTGTTTTTTAGTATTTTGATTTTGATCAGGCACATAAATGTAATATAAGTCCTATTGCAATAACTGATCTTGTTTTGGTAACACCAACGGTTATAAACAGTGTCATCCTATTTTTCCAAGATACATATATGTTATGAAAGGATTCACTTAAAATCGTCGTTTTGGATACTTTTAAGGCATATATTTGTAGCCCTATGACTGCACGTGTTTCAGGGGAAAATAAAAAACTAAAAAAACTTGAAAAATAAAGTTTAGGAGCTTTTAGAACATATGCAAGACAACCTACAATGGCAACTTTAACACTTGTGGACTTCAATTCCCAGAATTCCCTAGCAAGCATGGCTGGCTGGGGAATTCTGGGAGTTGAAGTCCACAAGTCTTAAAGTTGCCAAGGCTGGAGACCCCTCTCCTAAAGGATTGCAAGAACAGCACCCACTTGTAGAATGGCATGAGGCCACCTCTGCAGGAAGACCACCCCTCTCCATTGGCTGCCATGTCTGTCAAAAGCTTCAGAAAAATGTCAAGGTAAATTGAGTGCTCCCACACGTGGCTGGGTGACTGGATGGGGAGCAGGGCAAAGCGTCTAGGGCAGTGGCAGCTTCGTGTGTGCCGGTAGCCCCAGGAGCCAGCTGAGGCTCCCACATACTGCTAGGAGGGAAGCAGGTCCAGGGCCACAGCAGCTTCATATGTCCCAGTAACCCCTGGAACTGGCCAAGGGCTCCCATGCATGGCTGGGTGGAGAGCAGTCTGAAGGCCTGCAGGACTGCGGTAGCTTTGCATACACTATAGTTCCTGGAATGCCCATAGAAGGTTTCTGTGTGCCAATGGGCCCTGGGCCGCCCAGAGCTTCCACCGTCCCTTGAGGCACTCCCGCATTCTGGTTAACCTCAGCAATTAGGTGAGATGGGATTGTGGTTGTTGAGCAAAGCAGTCGCATGAAGTGTCACTTAATGACTGCTTCACTCAAATGATAGAGATTTGGGCCCCAACTGTGGTCTTTTCAGTCAAGGATTACCTGTACTGGAGTTACAAAGGAGACCTATTAAAGTTTTGAAAGACTTGATGAGGAAAAATTAATCTAAAAAAAAATATTATATAATGATAGGGGCTTTAACTATCTTCAATGTCAGCTTTATTAGTATGCATACATATGCTGAGTTGCATTTCACTATGGAACTAAATTATTATCTGACCCTCTTTGATAGGATAGAAAGGAGTGGTTCCTTTTTTAACCAACATTTTATTGAATTTCCAGTATTAAAGTTGTAACAAAAATATTACTCATTTATGACAGAAAAAGACAGTGCAGCCAAGAATTTTTAACTAAGATCAAATGTAGTATCTAGATTTAAAATCTTGAGCTGGTATTAGTTGTTTGCTCTCTGTTTAGGAATTGGTTCTTTTTTGATATAATGGAAAGACTGATCAATATTCTTCTGTGTTGTCAAGGTTTAATGCTAAGTTTAAAAACCGAGCTGTTTCAATGTATACCATTCTATCTCTCTTTTCTTAACAATAACATATATTAAAGATGAAAGGAACAGGACTGCCACATTCCAAACACTGTGTTTACTCTCATTATGCTACTAATTGATGATTCTGCATCCATCAAGATGGAGGCAGATGTTTTGTATTGAGAGAGATATACTGGGAAAAACTGGGGGGAAGGCATGCAATACTCACTTTGCCAAAGTGCCCGCGACCTAGCACAGCTACAAAATGAAAATCATCCATAGTGACAGGTGTTTTTCTCAGATGGCCGCTACAAAATAAAAGAGAAAGTCAGGGGTGGCTCCCTACCACCAGCTCTACCCCAACACACATACACAAATCCTTATACAAAAAATAAAGTTGTTAAAGTCAACAATTTAGCAAAATCAGCTCTGGGCATTCCTTTTTCCTATGAATATCTAAAACAACTTTTCCCAATCCTCCCGACTTGTGTACTTTAGAATCCGTTAGCCAACATGGCCACTGATGATAATTGTGGGAACTACATCTAAACAAGTCAAGAAGGACATTTGAGACAGGCATTATTCCTCTACCAGGTAAATAAGTTCCTGATCATTCAAGCAGGATTGAAATTAGCAAAATAAATAAATAAATAAACAACCCTATTTCTTTATACAGGGTCTTATCAAAATAATTGTATCTTGCATGATCACATCAATACTTATATGGGGTAAATGCAGATGTAATTGATGGCATGCCACCAGATTTGACTGGCATAATTTTATCAGTAAGCACATACGAGATGTAGGTCAAGGAGAGGGAGCAAAAGCAAAGAAATATCTAAAGACAAGGAAATTATCTGTGTTTTGCCTAGAGATATATTAACTCAACTCCCATTAGAATTCACTGTTTGCAAGGTGAGCACAGCACACTGTGGATGTTCTACCATGATGGGGAATTAAGTCATTTATTATCAGACATTGTACTGGTGACATTTGTATCCTCGTTTCAGACATCACTATATGCATTAGAGTTTTTGAAGCACTATGCATTGTGCACATTTAATGAAGCAAATCCTAGGTAGAAAATCAGTGTATCAACAGCTATGCATTTATTTGCAACACAGACTGTTTATAGTATGCTGACAGAACAAGGAGTTAGAGATGTAAGTGAGCCATTTCACAGGAAAGAATAATTAATAGCAAGATAAAACAAGTAAAGAGTCTATGATGGCAGAAAATGGGAGAAAGCTATTACCTACCTGTGAAAAATACTTTCAGATCCTCTAGTCTCACTTCCTGAACCTAATTCCATTTGAAAGACCTCCTCCTCAGCTTGTGAAGTCTGTAAAGAAATAGAAATATAAAAAAAGAAGTAACTGCTGGAAAACAGCAGCTTCCCTGCCTGCCAAACTGAAAAAGAGACACTTACCAGTAAGACCTTCTCAGGAAGCTCAGGATCATCCTGGCCCAAATGCCCAATTTGAACTCTATCCCCTTCCAAGTTCAGCTTCTCAATGGCAATGTCCCTGGATGGGGGGGAAGAATTACATGGAAAATTACCACAGAAACTACAACCTGAGGAGAAATTGGGTTAATTAAGGTATTTACTCCAGGGGTCGAGACACTGATGCTTTCCAAATGTTTCTGAATTACAAATTACAAGCAGTCCTAGCCTTCACAGTCAATAGTAAGGGATGTTGTAAGCTACACATGGGGACAGATTTTATTTTAGGCCTATAATCCTGAGGTGATTTAGCAGGACATCCAAGAAATTTTATATTAGCGCCTTAAATATAGGCGGTGTGTTGGCTCAGTGGTTAAGATGCTGAGCTTGTTGGCTAGAAAGCCAACAGCCCGGGTTTAAGAACCGAGCATTGCTCGATGAGTGAACTCTCATCTTTACCTATCTCCTGCCAATCTAACAGTTGGAAAGCATGCAAATGCGAGTACCACTTTGGTGGGAAAGAGACAGTGCTCCATGATATCATGCTGGTCACATGACTGCCTTTGGACAGCATTTGCTCAATGGCCCTTGGAATGGGCCCCTTATAGTCAGTTATGACCAGCGGAGTAAAATCTGCAGGGACTCCCTTCCTTCCTCAAATATATGGCTTCAGAAATATCCAAACCTTAGCTTTCTTTCATCAGCCACTAGCAACAAAGTAAAATAAGTATAATATGAAACATGAAAACATGGTTTATAAATGCTGCAGCGGCTAAGATTTTTAGCTGCTCACCCCCGAAACACCTACCCAGAGCTCTGCCTACTTTCTGAGCCAGATGTTGGAGTCATCTGCGTTGAGGGACTATAAGTCCCTGTAGTACTGGCAGTAGGAATGAGGCGTCGCAAGAGACGTACCCATGTGGCAATATCAATGTTCATCTGACGAGCACGCAAGAAAGCTTTCCCTAGGAAGACACAGATGAAGAACAGCTGGAATTTTGCAAGTGATGAGACACAGGCAGGCATACACATTTAAGGGGACTATGGGATCAAACCAAAGACACACAGAGCTAGCATCCCACTTCCACAGCAGCCAAGAAATACAGGTAGTCCTCAGCTTACAACCACAACGGAGCCCAATATTTCTGTTGTTAAGTGAATCACTGCAGTTGATAAGTTAGTAATCCGGTTGTTAAGTGAATCTAGCTTCCCCATTGACTTTGCTTGTCAGAAGGTCAGAAAAAAATGATTACTTTTTGGGGCATAACAATGGTTATACATATGAACCAGTTGCTAAGCATCTGAATTTTGATCACATGATCATGGGGCTACTGCAAAAGTTGTAACTGTGAAACACGGTCATAAGTCAGTTTTTTCAGTGCTGTTGTAACTTTGAACGGTCACTAAATGAACCGTTGTAAGTTGAGGACTACCTGTACTATATATTTGTGAAGCCTGTAAATAGTTTTCTGAGTTATTCCTCAGAAATTCATATTTGGAGGTATATTATTATCCTGGACAGAGCATCATAGATATTTAAGCATTAACAGCCTTATCCCTCATTAATTTTCTTATACTCCTTTCAAAACATTTAACCTAATGGCCATCAGTTCTTATGACACATAGTTCCATAGGCCAACTCTGTGCTACATGTAACTATTTATAACTGTTCCAGCCATTCAAAAAGGATCATTTGATTACCTAATAGCCTAGTGCTACACTAATCCATAAAAATCAGGAATCATGAAATGAAATGTATGAGATCAGTGGTACAGGAAAATTCCCAAACCTGCCTTCATCAATTCAAATTTAACCATTTATGTTTTTATATATTTATGCAGAAAAATGCCATAGGGAAAACAGAAATTAGTATTAGCCTCCATCCAAATACCATACATTCATGAATAAATCCAAACATACTGTATAGGATCAAATCCCCAAGACGAGACAACAATATAAGAACTAAGTCTACATAAATGGCCAAGAAAGTGGGTTATGAAATGCTTAGATTAAAACCTATATTTGCTGCTTTATTTATTAAATTTATACATAGTCAATATAAATGAGATCTTCTTATTCCACTAACTATCTCCATCATGGACCACCCCACTGGGACCACAAGCCAACTGGCAGAACCAGGTCTTCAGGCCCTTTCGGAAAACCAAGGGGGTGGGGGCAGATCTCATCTAGAGGGGCACAATGTTCCAGAGGGTGGGAACCGGGGAAGAAATGACTCTTCTTCTCCTGGACCCGACCAGTCAAAATTCCTTGACTGACAGGGTCTGCAGCATGCCCCTTCTGCCAGATCTGTTGTATATCCAATATAAGCTATTATCCTTTTACCTTCAGCTCCATCCAACATGGACTGGGAAACCTGAAGGCCTCCAAATGTTATTGGATTCCAATCCTCATTAAACTCAGTTATTGAGGCATTGAGATACTCTTAATATTTAAAGTATGCTATACATGTTTCAGCCTGTCCCCAAAGACTGGATTACAATATAGCTGTTATGGTAAAGGATCTTTTGTAAGGATTAGATTAAATTATTGAGGTATTATTGAGACATTGGGGTACTCTTAATATTTAAAGTATGCTATGCATGTTTCCAGATACCTATGCTTGTGTATTTCTCTCATAAGAGATGCAGGTATTTAACATTTAATGAAAGCAACTACTGAAGCCATTTTTTGAAAATGATGTGTTCAAGTTATGGAATGGAGCATTTAAATGCAGCAAGAAAATAGTTGAGTATGTTACAAGACTAAATTTCATTGGGGAGGCCAGTAGGTTACTTTTCTGCCTGAGATCCTAGTAGGAAATGTTCCCTTGGAGAAGAAAATACTTTGGAGAAGCTCATCCTTGGCCTGCTCATCCTCACCCTTGCTCAGTCACACAATGAGAATAAAGTGAACAACCACGCATGATATGCAACAGCGACAACAGATATTCCACACACAAAAAATATGCCAACGTGATATTCTAGCACCTTATTTCCAATGCCATTTCTCTCCCAGAGCTAACCAAGCTGGCAATTGGTATGACCCGGTCCTTCAACACTGTAGACTAAGGAAGTACTCAAGGCTGGCTGATCAAGATTCAAACTGTGGTCTGATTCCTTACCTTGCTGCTTGGAAAAGATCTTCTTCTGTCGCTGGAGCTTGGGTATGCGCTCAATGACAGGGTTAAAAAAGATAACCTGCAGCAAGAGAGTGTACTGTAAGCCAGGCAAAGGGGCAGTGCATCCTGAGAAACAGTTCCTGCTGCAACACTGCTGCAGTGAGGCTCAGGCTGTTTCGCAAGCTAGATCGACCCAGATGCGAACAGCAACCTCTGGCTGACTAGGGCTGAGGAGCCTCCATTTTAAAAGGAGGAATTCAGTCCTGCTCCTCTTCATCAGCCATCATCAGCACCTCATCAGACATGAGCCTCAGAGTGCAAGGCTCCCACCCACAGTTCTACTGCCCCACTTTCTACTGTAGCCGAAAGGTCAAACCTCCATCCACTACATTAAAAAACAAATCTATAATCAGAAATCAGAGATGTTTATTTATGAAGACTTTCCTACTACTCTTTATCTTTAATACATTCAAAGTGAATCACAACCTGGCTGAAATATAAAATAAACACCATCCCAAAATGATTAAGGCCATAGGTTTAACAAATAAAGCAGGGAAAGATTTTAAAAAATGAAAGCTTGAAATAATGCAAAATCTTAGCAGTATATCTAAGAGTTCAAAGTGTGGGATCCAGCCCCACGCTAAAGCCTCAAGGCTGTACAAGCAAGCATATCTAGTACGGCTTCTGGAGAATCACAAATGGACAGGATAAGAACCTTTAGCCCAGTTAATGAAGCACAACAAAACTGAAATATTTTGACTTCACTGAGCATCTCAAGGATAGCGTTAATTATAAGCAAATAATCTTGTACTGTGAATTGTTTGTGATGGCAAAATCTTTCCATAAAGTAAAAACGTCCATTAGAAACTGACCAATATTAAAAGGATGAAATATTTATTCATTATAAGCCATTATTTCATGATGATTTGAAAGTTAGCATCTTGTAATATGTAGAACCTCAAAAAATAACAATTTTGTCCCAGACTATTTGACAATTTTGCTCAGTAATTCCAAGTTATTCATTCTTTTTTTTTTTAAGGTTGAGCTTTTATTACAGGGACATTTTCACTTATCTTTTACATAAACTGTAATAAATTATACATCGAGATATTCCACAGATAACTCATGTTTTAGGGCAATTTAATTCCAATCCAGAGCTAAAATATTCCATCATCATATACTGATTTGATTGCTGAAAATTGCAACATCATTTTTCAAAGATAATCAGGGAATATCTGATCTGATATTAAACATGGGGGTTGCACATGACGAAAAAAACTAGGTTGATTAAAATATGGGGTATTTATGCAAATAGAAAGATGTGGGATGGGAATAGCTTTGATGATGATTTGTCCCTTTTTTTTTTTTAAATGGCAGTACATAAGTAGCATATTGCAATGGGGTTCAGTAAGAATAATTATTTTAAAGTAATAACACTATTTCAAAACATATTTGTAAAAACTGAATTTTCACAATAGGAAATAGTGCCATGTTTAATCAATGACACCAAAAATATAAAAAAGAGAAAAAAAGAAAGAAATGTTTTGTCCTTCTTGAGTTATTGATGATAAACTGTGTGGGTCTTATTGTCATTGGTTAAGAGTTTCCTGCTAACTTTTGGGAATAAAGTGAATCCATTGGAATTGGGCAGCTAATAAATTCAAATAAATAACTAAAGGTTTGTCAGTTTCTTTTCACCTGACTCCCTCTCCATTTCATTGCTGATATGGTATAATCGAACAGGCTGAGTGAACAAACTGAAGAATCTTATACAATAGTTTTTATATAAGGAATCCTTTTAACTCTGATACAGTGCAGTATCAATATTGGATAAGGACAGACCTCCTCTACAGGCTGAATAAACTAAGAAGCAAATGCCTGATTCTATAATGAAGCAGCCGAGTAGAGATGGGATTCTAGGGTCCATAAGACATTGCTCTCTACTATAGCCCCATTATTCCTGGTCATTGGCTAGACTGGTGGGGCTCCCATGACATCTAATGGCCCACATGTCTTCCCCATTCCACTCCCTTTGAGGGGGGAGGAAGGAAAACCTGTGTAATTGATTTATATCTAAGTATGTGATGTTGCACACATACAGCACGTATGGATTAATGGTGGAATTATCACACGCAAGAACTGGAAACAGGAAAATAAGATGCCTGAATACTTTTTTAGTAGCATGTAGATAATAATGCTCTCTCTTCATTCTCTCCACAACTGTACATATAGCACTTATATAAAGAAATCACCATTGTTTAAATTCATTCACTGTATAAAAATATTGCAGAACAATATTTGGGACATGTTGCTGCTACCATGCTTTTTTTGGATTTCAACACTTTCTATCCACTCACTCAATTAAAATAATCTAAGTACTAGAATGTCAGTTCTTTCCCACCTAGCTCGACACCAATCTTTTTTTTTTTCTGTTACCTCTGCTAACAGAGTGCCCTGTGGCTCCAATTCCAGGTGAATTTCATGGCGTTCATTGTCAAGGAAATCTTCCAGCTTGAGGTATTTCAGGGCACAGAGACTGCGGTAGTCACGCCAATAGACACCAATCTCCAACTCTCTTGACTGATATGGAGAGAAGAGATCCATTAAAAAGATCAGCAGCAAGTAGTCACTGTCTCCACAACACATCCACTATTCCTACATCGAGGTCCAAATTGTTTCCCAACAATCAGTTAATAGGGGCTTCACCATATTTCTCTATCTGAAGAATGGTGATATCAAAGAGTACACAAAAGAGATCATTATGAACAGATGCACTTTAATAAATATGAAAAATATCAACTGGAACACAAAATAAAATAATTTCTATAATAACCTGATTCCTCTCCCTGCAGTTATTACTCACGGGACTCTGGCATGAAATTGGAGGGGGTAACATGACTTCTTTGCCACAGAGATATGAGCAGATAGATGTTATATAGCACAGATCTGGTATCTGAAGCCCATTAAAAAGGCACCATCTTTGCACATACCCTTTCTAATTCCACTGTGAAAACCTGGTTCCAAGCTTGTAGGCCAATGGATTTCCAAGCGGTCTGGCCTACAACTCCATTGTCCAGCTTCAATACAGCACTTATTTCATCTACGAAACAGTTGGAACGTTGAGAAAGAGCAAATAAGATAGATTTCATTTCATGCTGACCAAACTGCATTAACACCAACGCAGCACTAAAACATATTAACATCCCTCTTATTCATTTTCTCATTTTAGTGCAGATCACCCTCAAGACTACTTACTGCTGTTATCTTCTGATTTGATGGTGGTCCTGCCACTTACACTACCACTGCGATTATACAGCCCTCGCCCGCTGCGGGTCATGAATGAAGGCCGTGCTTCACCAGGACTGTTGCAAGGCAGGCAGACAGTGGAGCCACGGGTACGTCCTGGGACAACCTCCAGCAACCCACTGCAGCCTAACAACTGTACTTCCAGGGTCCCTGCCAAGAAAAAAACTGCTAAGAACCAAAGTCTGGAACATTTAAAACAAAACGACAATACTTCCTTTGAGCCTTAAGAGAGTCAGCAAGAGATCAGGCAAAAAAAAAAATCCTATTATCTCATTTGTGTATGGAAAAGAAGGTACATTAAGAATGGATTAGAAAGTGCAGAAAACAACTACTGTATGAGATGGCGATACTGACTAAGTGGAATGTTCTCATTGTTGCTGTTATTATTACAATTTCATTTCTATATCACCTTCTTAAAATGGCTCAGACCGAATTAAACACGCTCAATAACTAAACTGAAACATTCTGGCAATAGACTGACCCAACCTATGCCCAGGCGGAAGGGGGAATGCAGTCACCTGTGAGTGGAGATGGCTTTGATAAGGTATTATACTGGATATGCTGGTAGGAACTGCTATTGCGGGCACTGAAGGCAGGAGAGGAGGCCAAGATGAGTTCCTCCTTGATGATGCAGGCCTTTGGATGATCTTCAGGCAGTTCAGCCAGACGTTGCTCCAGAGAATATCGCAAAAGATCCAACTTCTGGCTTGATTCGTTCAGCCTGGTCTGTGCCTACAGCAAAGGTCCAGATCATCAAGTACCAATTTGGCTCAGCCTAGTAATGACCCATTTTATATGCTCCTTCCATTTCCACACAGTTTCCAAACCAAGACAGTCTGCCTGATATATTAACAATGATATAGACCAGTGATGGCGAACCTTTTAGAGATCGAGTGCCCAGAAACTGACCCCGCCTCCGCTCCACCCCCTTCCCTGCCCCAGCTCCACCCTCACCCTGTCCCCCACCCCACCTGCCTGCAGGGCCACTCACTGCCTCCAGGGCCCACCGCAGATCACCTGGGCAGCCCAGCAGCGCCATGGCAGCCATGCCCTCTGCCCGCGTTATGGGGCATGAGGGCAGAGTCTTGTCTATGCTGCCTGGCTGCCATGTCCTTGGCTGTGCTGCTCCACGTGGGCCATGTTCGGGGACAACTCTCCTCCAGGGGGGCTGCTGGTGAGGAGGGAGTCGTGGGGCGAGGCGAGGCTGGGGCAACAGCACGTGTGCCCACAGAGAGGGCTCCGAGTGTCGCCTCTGGCACCAGTGCCATAGGTTCGCCACCATTGATATGGACTCAGCACCCTTCTTCAGCAAGTGGGCTGTTGGATCCCAGGCCATATCTCAGTGACAGAGCTTGAAAGTAGGAAACCAAAGTGCAGTATTCCCTGTGCCCATGGGTACAGGTTACAGGAAATGTATATGTAATGCAATGTTTTTTAACTCTTCTCCAGCAATTATTAGAATTTAGATGCAAATGTTCTGACAATGAAGAAACCTGTCACAACTTCTTTGACAAAAAATAGTTGCTTTTTTGTTTGTTTGAGGGATTTAATTGACTAGGGCATACAATGTGAGGCTTCAGATCAACAGTGGCCTCCCAAAATGTCAACTGTGATCCACTTCAAATGTTTGTTTATTGTGTTTCTAGACTTTCCATCTCCCAGAACAGACACAAATGTTGTCTTTGAACTGTAATTTTTTAATATGCCAGAAGTGGGATATTATTAAATATATCAGAAAGTCATATTAATTTAATTTAATCAAAAGCAACTTTTTTCTAAATTGTGATTTTTAAGATGCCATCGCAAAGTCTAAAACAGTGCTTAGTCTAAAGAAGACTGAGCCTATGTAGCATAGGAAGTTGTGTTTGGACAATAAGCACACCGACTGAGAATGCTTACTTGTAACGCCAAAAATGTCTAGAAACGTGAGTCTGGGAACAGGTGATGCAAAAGTTGCAAATATATGTCAGAGAATGGCATAATTGGGGAAAAAAATTAGGTTATTTCTATTCTGCTGTAGATTATTACTAATTTACAGTAGCACTGAATTGCTTACTGCTTCATTTCTTCAATCATTTTATGTATCTTTATTATATAATACCAACCAAGGAAACTGCACCCTTACCTCAGAAATAGCATGACGATCCTGAACTTTGCTGGAGCTCAGAAGGCGCAGTACATTTTTGGCACCTTCAGATATAGCATATTCTACTTGGAAGTGATGGCGAAGCTCCTCAATTCTCAATTCTATGGCGCTTAGATCTGTGTTCCCTGCAAGGAACATTAAAAAGTCAGTCTATCTCCGTTTGTATGCTTAGCACCAGGGCCACGAAATGACACCCACAACTTCCCTAGTTCAGTGGCAGCCTTAACTATTACGTATTTCCCAGAATACCCTCAACCCCTTGTAAAGACATTCTTAGGAAATAAACATGATGGAAGACTATAGTCCAGTGCTCTATTGGAAGTAAGACTATTTGCCTGCAAATAATAGCAAAGGAACATCCAAGGATGGAGGGAACTGGAGAAAATATAGAGAACAGCCTCACTGATAGGATATAAACATAAATAGATGTATTGTGACTGCCTACCTATCATGGCAGCCATTTTGTCACTTTGACAAGCTCTTACATTTTACGGTGCATACCAGTTCAAAAAGGGATCCCTGGCTTAAAAGAATGATAGATCCCTTTGTGTTTAATATGTGCTTAGCTCCAAAGGGAAACCCAGAGACCTGTATCCAGACCCAGAAATAGGGGCTTCACACCAGCTGGGGAAAAGGCAGGACTTTAAACTGTTCCAAAAACCATTTCCTAGTTCCTAAAGGGTTTGAGAGAGCAACAGGGACGTTGGCCTTTCTGAAGTGACAGCCTGGCTATAGCATAAACAGAGCTTGCAGCAAACAGGGGTTTCTTCTTCACTGTCTCCTTCACCTTGCCCATCTTCCATAGTCAGCTGCACCTCGTCAGCTTGCACAGCCTTGCGAATCTGCATGCGGATAATGTTTATCTTGGTTTTGCTATCTTGTAGCATTTGCTGGGCTGTCTGCAGCAACTTCCGATCCTAGATGAAAGACCAAAGGGGTGGACTGAATTCTCTCCAGCAGAAAAAAAAGTATTGAAAATCACAGCAAAATCAATGTAACTGGCAATAGGTTTAAGACAGACAGGCTGACAGACCAACTGACCGAAATAAGCTCTAAGAATACACACAGAACAAACTGGACTGCCTTCCAGGGTATTAACAATTATTATCTCCAATTGTTATCTCTCTTTAATTCTGCCCATCCAGCAAGAGTTGGGCGATCTTCCAATATGTAATCAATCAATCAATCTGGCAGGACCCAGGAAATGTGCCTTCTCTGTTGTTGCTCCTGGTCACTGGGTCAGCATTCTCTTTGAGATCTGGCTGACCTTGACCCCGCCTGCCTTTCAAAAGGCATTAAAGACCTGAGTCCCCCCCCCCTCCTTCAGCATTGGGTCTCCGACCAGTATGACCACCTGGATGATTTTTTTCCCCTGCCACTTTATGTGTCTACAGTATATAAATTCTGGGGGGTGGTGGTCTTTTTTTATTACATGGTTTTATTGAATATATTATTGTTCTTAAATGATGTACACCATCCTGAATCATGTGACAAGTGGATAGTTTAAATAAATAAATAAATAAATAAATAAATAAATACATACATACATACATACATACATACATACATACATACATACTTCCCAAACCTGAGGACTCAAACTGTTACCCTCGTATGTTGCTAGTGGAGTGGGAATACAGGAATTCTAATGAGTTTTCAGTTAATCACAAGAACTGTCTACTTCTTCAGCCAAAATTATTTCCAAAATAATTCTTTACTTAAAGAACGTTCCAAAATTCAGATTCTTAAGCATCTGCTTCTGTCAAAGTTCGTGGAGGCTAAAATGCAGCACTGAGATCAATTCAATCAATATTTGTCTTTTGGATGATAAGGATCAGCATCAAGGATATAATTAATTATATATGAAATGTAGACCACAATTTGCTAAGTCATAGGCCACACCATTTCATTCGATGTTTTAAAGAAGCATTTTTTCCAGATCATTTTGTACTGAGGATGGTTCACAGTAAAGAGTTGGCCAGCTTAATTATAGAGGGTTGATCCCCAAATGAGCCTAACCCCCAAATGAGTTTCCCCCCCCCCTTCCCCAAGAGAATGTTGTGCTATTTTTATTTCTACTTGCAAAGCTAGGGAATGTTCTATTTCAAGGTAACTTGAGCCCTTTGAAGTAGCAGTTATCAGAAGCTGCTTGTTCTTGTGCTATAAACTATTTAAACATTTTAGAACAGTGTATTCCAAAGGTTTCCAGTGGGAGATATGTTGAGCATCAACACAGAGATAATTCTGTAATTATCTAAGGAACTTTGGAAATCAGCACATTGGTTTGTTACTTCTGCTTTGCAGGAAAAACATGTAAGGGCAACCAGGGATGCTGATATGCATTCTTATTTAAAACGTCTTGGATACTTTGGCTGGGGAAAAAACTTCCTAACACCTTTGAGAGAATGGAGCTACTAAAACAGGCAACACTGACTTAGATGGAGAGTCAGATTCTTTATCAGGTTGAGGACACTGATGCAGATATTTCTTTTGTAGGGCAGACATATTACGGTACTTGAGCTTATGTAAAATGGCAAGAAATGCCTTTGTTTAGAGAAGGAGGACAGTGGAGAGGAAAACAAACATACTTTGGCAGCACCGTTGGCATACATCTGGATCATGTTCTCTGCTCCCTGCTTCACTTTCAACTCAATGTTGAGCTGCTTTTCCAGACCAGCAATACGACTTTTAGTAGCTGTTGATCGGCTCAGGCTGCCTGGTGATTGTGGGGCATCTAGAAAGGGATCAGTCATAGACATTAATATAAGCAGGATGCACATCCTTAAAAAGAACCATCTGAATTTCTGAACAGAAAGTAAGGAGAGGGTGTCACAAGCCTAGAAGAATGGAAGATTCTCTGTGCCAGGAACATAGATTCTCTTCTCTATCCTGGGGGGGGGGGAATCTACCAATGTCAGCAATATACAGTGATAAAAAAAACCACAGAAAACTGCTGAGCATTTTTATATTATACTAGCTGTACCCGGCCACGCGTTGCTGTGGCTCAGTCTGGTTAAATGGAAAAGAAAGAAAAGAGAAAGCGCACGTTTCTAATATGTTTAATTTCACAATGCTTGTCCCCCCTGCACATATTCTGCTAAAATTGAGACACAGGGTGGCGAGACCACCGTCTGATTTCTTTTAAACATCGCTTTCTTTCTTGTTTCTCTCTCTGTCTCCCTGTCACAGGTGTGACATCTATATAATAGTAGGTATATAAAAACACGCACGTATTCGAATGCAACATTGTGTCAAAATTTCAAAGCAATCAGTGAAGAACTTTCGGAGATTTAAGATTTTGAACAAATGAACATTTACATTTTTATTTATATACTAGCTGTACCCGGCCATGCGTTGCTGTAGCTCAGTCTGGTTACATGAAAAAGAAAGAAAAGAGAAAGTGCACGTTTCTAATATGTTTAATTTCACAATGCTTGTGGGTATACCAACAGATGGCGCTGTTTTTCAAAAAACATGTTTTTACCTTTTACCTGTCACAGGTGTGACATGTATATAATAGTAGGTATATAAAAACACGCGCGTATTCGAATGCAACGTTGTGTCAAAATTTCAAAGAAATCGGTGAAGAACTTTCAGAGATTTAAGATTTTGAACAAACGAACATTTACATTTTTATTTATATAGATAATAATAAGATAAGATAAGATAAGATAAGATAAGATAAGATAAGATAAGATAAGATAAGATAAGATAGAAGATTGAACAGGTCTTGTGCAGCCTCAGGGTCCTCATATTGGCGAGAGGGTAATTATTTCAATTTATTATCAAAAAGCAGCCAATATAGAGGAATTAAAGAATCTCCCTCTTAGTTGCATTTTGTGAATAGGGACTAAATATTACTTCGTTAACATAGCTGCTTCTGTCAGAGTTAGTGCTTCTCTCTTGCTTTTTAACTACAGTACTATTTCTTTCTTTTCATTCCTTCTTTTTCTCCTTTCCCCATTAACATTTTCTAGTTGATCTCTTACTTGATCATCCTTCCTTTCCACCCCAATATTCTGGCTTTTGCTCTCTTGGGTTTGAATGCCATAATGTCCACCAGGGAATGGTCTATCCTCTGTCAAGTTTTGGGTAGGCCAATCACTCAACTAGGTAGGAAAGAAATGTAAGTAAACACAATAACTTAAAAGTCTACCCAATTTATTTGGAGAAATAATTTAATGTATCTTGAAAATACTCTAGCCTCTTGCTCACTTATTTACTATTTTATAACCTGCCTTTATTATTTTTTTATGAATAACTTAACATACCTAATACAAGTAATCCTCGACTTGTGACCACAATTGAGCCCAAAATTTTTCTTGCTAAGCAAGACAATTGTTAATTGAGTTTTGTCCCATTTTACAACCTTTCTTACCACAGCTATTAAGTGAATCACTGCAGTTGTTAATTTAGTAACACAGTTGTTAAGTGAAACTGGCTTCCCCCTAGACTTTGCTTGTCAGAAGGTCACAAAAGGTGATCACATGACCCTGGGACACTGCAGCCATCAAAATACGATTTAGTTGCCAAGTGGTCTGAAAATTGGTCACGTGACAATGGGGTTGTAAGTGTAAAAAAGGGTCATAAGTCACTTTTTTCAGTGCTGTTGTAACATCTAACAGTCATGAAATGAATGATTGTAAGTCAAGGATTACCTGTACTCCTTCCTCTTCCTATTTTCCTCACAACAACAACCCTGTGAGATGAGGTTGCGAGAAGTGGCTGGCCCCAAGTCAACCAGCTGCTTTTCCTTGTTTAAGGCAGAGCTAGAACTCACACTCCCAGTTTCTAGCCTTGTACCTTAACCATAATTCAGAATGCACATTTCAAACTTTCTTTGACTTTCAAAGGTCACAACAGGAGTATCTAAAGACTACTTACTCCAAAATGATTAATAGTCAAATGCTTTACTTTGTTAGGGTGGGAAGAGGACCCTTGCAGTACTAGTAATCCAATTTTCAAATGTTCTCCTGAAGATTACTCAATAGACATCTGATATAAACAAATTTTAAAATGATTTTTATATCTAAAATGTAGGAAGTGTTTGATATGTTCTTTCACAGCCATAGAATTAAATGTGTTGGATTACAAGGCCTATCATTCCTCAGCCACTATAGATAATAAAAGTGGTTGTTAACCAATCTAGTTGGGAACACTAGTATAGTAAAACAGATTTTGGTGCTCTTATTTTTTCATTTATTTTCACTGCTAATTGCAGTTTCATGGTTTATTTTTAAAATATTACTTTAGATACCTTGAAAATATTCTGAATTATAAAGGTTATAATTAAGGCATAAAATTAAAATATGTGTGGAGGACATAGGAAAACCTGCCACAAACAATGGTCAGATTTCTTAATATGATCTACTTTGTAGCTTACAATATATCACATATAAGAGGATTTTGTGTGTGTATGCCTGAAGTCAGTCTGGATGAACAAGTCCATGCAGTTTTCTTGGCAATATTTTCAGAAATGGTTTGAAGCTGCCTTCCTCCTAGGGTTGAAAGTGAATAATTGGCCCAAAACCATCCCACTGACTTCCTGCCTTAGGGAGGACTAGAACTCATAGTCTCCTGCTTTCTAGCTTGGTATATTTAACTACTACACCAAACTGGCTCTCATAAAAGCAAATATCCTGGTTTAAATCATAGGCCTTCGCAAATATAATTCCATAAAACAGGTAATGCCTGTTACAAAGCAGCTGCATCTTATTAGTGCCGAGAAAGAGCCCCATTTCAATGAAAAACAATTTAATGTAGGACATATTTTACTTGAAAGTGATGAGAGAGAAACTGAGAGACAAATAGAGAACATGTTATTATTTCTTTAAGTGTAAAAGGTTAAACAATGGAAATATGTCAAATCTAGTAACAGGATTTATCACACTATTTTCTCAACTGAAGAACACATTTCCAATGAGGCCACAAGAGAAAATGGTAAGATTCAATCAACCTAATGTTTTTTGGGTTTTTTTGGTTTTTTTTGGAGGTTTCATGGAATTCTCAATTTTTATCCTGTCTGCCATACAAAGTTTCTCAGGCAGATGGGCAGCAATATAAATTGGATTAATAAATAAGTAATAAATAAAACTATGTAGGAGGGGTTTTTTTATAATGCATATATTATCTACATTCTGTGGACACTGCTACTCTATTAGAGTATTTATATAATTTATATTATATCTCTGTACATTTTGAGTCCTAGACAATATTTTGTGGATCTCCAGACATGTGAAACTTGTGACGTCGCGCAATGTATCGGGACAGTTTTGCCATTGCCGGCAATGGGGTGGGCGTGGCTTCCGGATGACACGTCCGGCCTGTGGGCCGGGAGTTTGACACCCCTGCATTAGACAGTTGTAAGGTCATAAATTTCCAAATTAGTGTTTTCTGTCCTTTTGATTTCCTGACACAAAGGTCTAACTATGAAATTAGATGTTTATTCTTAAGAAAGACTGGCAGAACAGCTTGGTATTTACGGCTTGGTAATTATTTGCTTCACAGTAAAGAAAGCCAACTAGAACAACACTTTTTAAAGAAAAGCAGCTTCCCATTGTAGACATTAGAGGAAGAGAATCATAGTAGTCTCTGGTAGAAAAAAAAATCAAAGGGAATCTGGTAGTGCGTTTTCCAATTAACACATTTTATTAAAAAGTATAGATGTGCTATAATTGTTAAGGTGGTGGGCTAGAAACTAGGAGATTGTGAATTGTAGTCCTGCTTTAAGCATAAAATCCACCCAATCTGAGCCCAAAAATCTACCACTCAGGGTTGTTGTTGTGGGGAAAATAGGAAGCAGTATTATGTACGTTTGCCACCTTGAATTACTTATAAATAATAAGGGCGGGGGGGCTATAGGTCATTTCATTGGTGAAGTGCAACTGTTGATGTGAACTGTAGCTCCCAAAAGCTTATGCCTTTCAACAAAATGTGTTACTCAAAAAAGTGCTACCACTTGATTAAAGAAAAGGAGCCTCTCATATCCCAAAGATGCTTTTTCAAAAGGCAAGTGGACTTTGTTTTTCCTTGAAGACATTTCACTTTTCATCCAAGAAGCTTCTTCAGTTCTGATCAATTCATATCTTTTAAGCAAGTGATTCTGGAATGGATAACATCATACCAAAATTTGTAGGACTAAATGGAGTCAAGCTCAAGCATTCTTCTAGTCAGAATTCTCTCATCAGTAGTGGCTGTGGGTGCATAGTATATACCACAGTAGCATTTCCCCAAGGCTTATAAAGCTCAGTGTAGGGTTTCTTGTTTTTGTTTGCAGGAGTTCTGAGTTTTGGGCCCAAAATCATTACTACTTTTCCCCCACTGAAGAGGAAATAGCCACACCCATGTACCAAACTCTTTCTAGTCCAGCTGTTTACTTTCTGAACTTCTCTCCTCCTCCATTTTGTGGCATGCATTTTAGAATGGAGTCAGGTACAATAGCAGCCACTTCCTCTTTGATAAAGTCTCAGCAACTTCTACATATGATGCAGTCCTAGTTTTATACAACGCAGTTCTTGCCTTGCTGAACCCTCTACTAAAGGATAAGATGCAGGGCAAGATTCCTCAAGGGAGATAAGAGCAGAAACATAGGCAGGTCTACACAAAGAACTCTGGGGGACCATCTTGATTTTGCTTAATCTCTACAACTTCAAGAGGAGATGGCATTTTCTTTCTGCTGCTTTTTGTCCCGTAAGATTAATTCCTGTCTGAGAAGATCAAGAGTTTATCTTTCTGTTACCCACATCTCTGCAATGGCTGGAATAAAAACTGGACAATGAAATAATAGGGCCACCTGATCTGTTCCAGATGACCACCGGATTGCAATTAGACTAGTCTGTATCACTGTGCTACTATCCAAATCTGGTCTTTCGCATCCCAGATTGGGTAGCCCTAAGCAAGAGAGGAAAAAGCATTCATCAGGTCTGCTTCCCTTCTGAACTTTCAGGTTTCACTTGCCAACAGTCTGGAGTGTGGATTATATACAAAGAGGTTTCTGAAACAATCCTTGGCAACTAAACAACTTCTATTAAAGGTTCATAATGGTAACTATACATAAGGAAATCATTTGGTTTTGATACTGTGTGTCATCAGTAACAGATGAAGCAAACTGAAACTGGATTAATAACATTAATTCTTTTCGTATGCTTTCCTAAAAGGTAGAATTGGATAGAAAATAAGGTTATGAAACTGCTGATATTACATCTGTGTTTATTTTACCCAGTAAATAAATGGTTGTTAATACTTTGCATTTTTTTAAAATACAAAAAGTGGCTGACAGATCTCATTCAATAAATGTGAAAACTAACAAAAATATAAAATGCATGCATAATGATGGAAGTATATTGATTTTGAGATAGATGATGTATGTATGTATGTTATAAGCTATATGGAGTCACCTATGTATGAGTTGGGTGGCTATATAAATTTGCTAAACAAACAAACAAACAAATAAATTGATTTTGAAATTAGTATATTGATCTTTCAACAGCTACTATTCCTGGACTTGTCCGGCTACAATCCGCATAATCTGTCATATAAAATGAGCCACTGTCACAGTCCAGAATAACTGAGAAGGAAGAAAGAGAAGAAAACTACTTGGCCCAAAATGTTAGAGTAAAGATAGAGGCTGTAGATTGGAGCTGAGGGATGGAAAGCACTTTGAATATTTTTTAAACTACATGCATGCATTTTAATGCTTTTTTCCTTCTGTTACCTGTTTTGATTATCTGGATGGTCAGAAAAGCTGGATCTCAAGTTCCAAGTCATGAAAGCTCAGATGGCTCTTTGGGGCATGTTCCGCCCAACGCACCATCACTATCAACCTTGGCAATTTTAAGATGTGTGGACTTCAACTCCCAGAATTCTCCCCATGGTGGCTGAGGAATTCTGGGAGTTGAAGTCCATACATCTTCAAACTGCAAAGGTTAAGAAACACTGGCCCAACCTATGACAAAGGGAGTTGCTATTGAGGGGAAAAACAAGAAAAGGGAGTGCTACATACATCATTTCTTGCTCTTGAAAGAAAGACAGGATATAAATCTAATAAGTAAGCTAAAAATGAATGAATACACCAATAAATAAATAATAGGCTAGACACATCAACCTATCTGTAACTAAATTCAATTTGTTAAAGAACTTGAACAATAACTCAAATGAATTATTACTCATGCAGGAAGAATTTATTATATATGAGACACGTATTACAAATCAGAGCAGCACTCTTATCAACCTCAAAGTATTTGGTTTCGAATAAGTGCCTTTACTTTAAGTTTCAATATTGGAAAGTCCGCAGAGATAAGATAGATTCATGAGCTCCATATGCTCATGCACACTCATGTACTATCTTTTTTTTTCCTTCCTAGTGTTTCTCTACAAGTGCAGAGTCCACTTTTTCGATAGGGAGAGCAACACTTGGTTGCAACAAGAATTGACTGACAAGCTTGTTGCCTAAGCCTGACATTGAGGGTTGAAAGAAAGGACTGGGCCAAAATCACCCAGCCAACTTTTATGCCTAAGGCAGGCCTAGAATTCAGTCTCTTTCTAGTCTGGTGCCTTAACCACTAGATCAAACTGGCTCTCACACATACAGTATACTACACACACACAAAATCTACTACAAAATCCCTTGAGAATATATGGAGATGCCACCAGATCTAGGTAAGTAAGTAATGCACAATTTTTGACAAAGTAATTGCTTCCTTTGAAGTGCCAGCCATTATATCAGAGACAAACACAAACATCACCAGTGTATTGCCTAATTTCCTCATCAGCCAGCAGAGTTTTCAGAAAGGTGTCACTGGTTGTTTCTTTCCTAACGAAAGAAACCATCAAAAACTCAGATTAAGAATGTTTTTCTACTGCTATAAACCTCCTCTAGGAAAATTTATTGTGCCTATTCTACCGAGAGCTGACAACAATCTATGTGCTTTTCTTTTAGTTCCTTTTCCAAATGAATACTTCCCTCTGCACCGTGTAATATCTAATCCATGTTTCTCCCTCCCCCCAAAAAAATTAGCACACTCACCCCCCAGCTCTTCGGGGTCCTTGACCACAATGTGTGCATTGAGATCCTGAAGATGGTGATGCAACGTCTCCAGTTTGCGGTTGGAGTTCTTGAGCAAGTTTTCCACATTGGAGAGATTCTTACGGTCTGTTGTAGCCTTGCGCAAATTTTCTGCTCCCTCCTTTATTTTCAGTTCTTTGCGGATCTCACGTTTAATTTTCTCTTTCTCCTCATCCAATTTCTGCTGCACGCTGGTGTCTGAAAAATCTGAGCTCTGGTCCAGACCCAGGTGCTCCAGGACTGACCAGTTGCCTGGGTCACTCTGCAAAAGAAGCATGGCAAAAAAGTTACTACCAAAAAAGGCTACCAATATTAATCCTTGTCTCTGTTCCTTTCTGAAATTGTAAAAGCCTTGAAAATATCCTAGTGCTGTAAACTAGGAAAAAGGGAAAAAAAATCCAGCAAACTGAACCCCTTCAACAATTTTAACTCTTTCCCTAAATGTATTATAGTTGCAACAAGTAGAGTAGCTATCTCTAAATAAACAGCAACTACAATGCAATATAGGTAGTCCTCAACCTACAATTACAATTGGGAGTGGAATTTCAGTTGCTAAACAATATGGTCATTAAAGAAGTCGTCATGTGACGAAACCTGATTTTTACCACAGTTGTTAAATGAATCTTCATGATTGTCAATGTGTCACACGGCCATTAAACAAAACCAGCTTCCCCAATTGACTTTGTTTATCAAACGCTGGCTGGGAAAGTCCCAAATCACAAGCACGTAATCACAAAAGGCTGCAACTATCATAAATATTGCGATCACATAACTGTGGAAGCAATGTGATGGTTGTAACTTCAAGGATGGGTTATAAGTCATTTTTTTCCGAGGCTGCTGTAACTTCAAACCATCATTAAACAATGGTACAGTTCTAAGTCAAGAATTACCTGTACTCAATTCTGGTATGGAATAAAATCAGTCTGAGTGTTTCAATTTAAAACAAGGAATCTACATCTAGTCCTTGACTTATAACCATTCATTTAGTGACCATTCGAAGTTACAATGGGACTAAAAAGTTTAAGACCGATTTTCACACTTACAAGCACTGAGGAGCATCCTCATGGTCACATGATCAAAATTCTGCATGCTTGACAACTGGCATGTATTTATGACAGTTGCACTGTCCCGGGGTCCTGTGATCACCATTTGCAAACTTCCCAGTCAGCTTCCAACAGGCAAAATCAATGGGAGAAGCCAGCTTTGCTTAATGACCACATGATTCAGTTAAGAACAGCAGTGATTTGCTTAACAACTGTGGCAAAAAGGTTGTAAAATGAGGGAAAACTCACTTAACAACTGCCTTGCTTAGCAATGGAAATTTTGGGCTCAATTGTGGTTGTAAGTTCATTTAAATCTATAAACCTGGTTGTTGAAAACTAAATTTAAATCTAAATTTAAATCATTATTCACTACATTTAAAACTAAATTTAAAATTTAATATTAATTTTTTAATATTAAAATTAAACATTAAAATTAAATAAAAATTAATACTTACACAAACATAAGCCTAATGAGGATATAGTATTAAATGTATATAAATGACCTTCATATGCATGTATTCCTCTTACTCGTCCCATATTTTGCCATTTATCAGAAGCAGGAAGTTGGAAAATTATATGGTTTCCTGAAGCACACTAAATTCAAGTAATAGTACATGATGCTGGCCCTCCCTTAAAGAACCCCTATCAAGATTAATCACAGGTAGGGTTTGGCTGTAACAAATATTCTAATTTCCCAGCAGTCAGGCTTGAAGGAAGGAAGGAGAATTCATCAGCCAAATTCAGTTTCATTTTAATAAAAAAATATACTCCAAATAATTCATTAACTTATATACTGCATTGTATTAATAGTGAATTCCTGCTAGGGAAATAAGAAACAGGAGAGAAACAGATATACACTTGCATTAGTTGCAGGACTGGAAAAGAAAAACGGACCAAGGACAACATTTGACTATATTTAATCTCTATTTCATTTTTATTGTAACCTCATTTTCTCCTCAGACCTAGAACCTAATTTCAGGCCCACGCCAACTACATTCCTTCTCATCACCCTTCCAATCTAAAGATAAAAGCCAGAAATCTTGGTTTCTGTCTTTTTTCTGCATCCAAACATACTTTCCTTCCTTCCTTCCTTCCTTTCCTGAATACACCATATGCAGCTTTATCCTGGATATCTTTTTGATGCTGATGTTGACAACTGCTCCCAACCTCCCTGAACTGCAATCTTAAGAATCTTGTTTCACTTGGCAAACAAAGTCAATAATTCCCATGCTTAGACTTATATATTAGGGCTACAGAACTCATAACAGGCACTAGTTTGAAGAGCTGATAGAAAAAACTATGATACTTGCATAGTTTGCTATAAAAACCAAAAATAGTTGCACAAAACAAGTTAGCCTATACTGAAATCTTAGCTGATCGATGTGGTATTTTAATTATGCTAGAATAGGAATTATCTTAAGATTTATGCCTATGCAAATCTAATTGTGAACAGAAGTACTTAATGGGGATGGTAACATTTCTCCTTAAGATTCCAAATACATTGATATTTTGTTTGCTTTTGTGTGGTTTCTTTTCTTCTGTTTTTCCATTTGGTTCCAATGCTGTTTTATTTATTTATTTTTACCTTCAGCGTTTTATTGGTCACTGTGTTTAAAATACTGTTTTGTTTTTAAAGATGGTGGAAAGCTTGTGATTTTTTTTTTCAACAACACAAGGTTTCTGCCATCTGTTCACTGAGATAAGAAGTATTACTATCATTCTTCCTCTTAAACGAGCTCAGAGCAATCTAAAAAACAATAAACAAGTGCAATAAACACCAGTTTTATTTTGCACATATACCTATAATTGCCGTTGCAGAATATGTTATTTAATACATGAATATATTATTTAACACTTAGTAACAATGTATGTACCTCTTTGCTACAACATGTTTCTTTTATTTGTCACATGTCTCCCTCTCTTTCTTCATCACAGCCAAATTTGAACACTTTTCATTTCCAATGTTAACCGCAACTTGTCATATCATTCAACTCCCTAAATGTGCTTAGTATTTAGAAGAATTTATTATAAAAAGAACATTTATTGTATGATACTGGTCTGTATCAAACAAACAATACTTCATAAGAACCAAATCCTTTTTGATTCTGTCAATATAGTTATTTTTTATTTTTATTTATTTAAAAGATTAATAAAGTCACTTATATAGTAACCACACACAAAAACAGCAAAAAAAGCCAATCAATCGCTATAAAAACACATGACATCTCAAGGCAACGCTCTCCCACACATTAAAATACCATCTTGTTAGGCTCCAGCCTTATCTCACCCCAATATTTGTGGAAAAGTCAGCTTTTCAAGCCGTTCCAGAAGGCAAGAAAGTCGAAGGCCTGCTGAATCTCTGGGATCCTATGTGCCCTTAGATGACAGCATTTAACAGAAAAGACTTGAAGCTCACCCACCCATCTATAGGTAGTTCTCGACTTATGACCACAATTGAGCTCAAAATTTCTATTGTTCAGTGAGAATTTGTTAAGTGAGTTTTGCCCCGTTTTACGACATTTCTTGCCACAGTTGTTAAGTGAATCCCTGCAGTTGATAAGTTAGTAACGTGGTTGTTAAGTGAATCTGGCTTCCCCATTGACTTTGCTTGTCAGAAGGTCGCATGACCCCGGAACATTGCAATAGTCATAAGTATGAACCAGTTGCCAACCATCTGAATTTTGATCACATGTAAAAAACAGTCATAGGTCACTTTTTTTCAGTGCCGTTGTAACTTTGAATGGTCACTAAATAAACTGTTGTAAGTCGAGGACTACTGTAACTGGATGTGATGGACAGATACACTCAATGAGATACAGACTCCCAAGTAACCTTGGCATCAAAGGTGAAAACCACCACCTTGAATTCTGCCCCTGGTAACAAAACCCCTGGGACTCAGAGAAGCTCATATGTAATATGGGCAAAATACGGATGCCCAAAACTGCCCCCACCGCTGCATAATTTCCAGATGGACCTCAAGAATCCTTACAGAGGAAATCACAGTAATCCAGATGGGAAATGACCAGGGCATGACTACTGTATAATATCTCCTAGTTCAGTAAATGGGTGTAACCGGCACACAAAATGCCTCTATGTAAAATCGCCCTTGCCTTGCTATGTCATCTGCTCCTTAGGCAGAAGCCACAAATCCAGGAGGATGTCCAAGTCAAAATTAAGGATAGGAATTGAGTAAAAATTAAAAGCACGTAGTCACTAATAATGGACAAATTGATATGGAATGGGAAATATAGACCAGTAGATTCTTCTTGTCCCGGAAGTCAGAAGCGATTACAGTATTCCAACTACAGACTACAACCCCCAAATAATCAGTCGTGCAACCAAATGACATTCACGCAGCTCATTCAATAACATAAGCAACATGTGAGAAACCTCCTGAAGGGAATTTAAGAAGTGGGCTAGAAAACACAACGGGCAGCTGCTGTCTTCTCATGTTTCATGAAACAAGGAAGAATGTTCCAAACATTGGAGGAGGAAGGGGGGCCTTTTTCTTCCTATGTATTAATTGTCATTTTCCATAATTGGGTGAACCTAAAGAATCAGAGAAGATAGCACTGGGAATAGCTAAAATATTACACTGAAGTGAATTGGAGGGGGGAAAAGAGAGCCAGTTCACTAAAGGTTTGAAGCAGGGGTAGGCAACCTTGGCTCTTTTATGACTCGTGGACTTCAACTCCCAGAATTCCTGAGCCAGCATGGCTGGCTCAGGAATTCTGGGAGTTGAAGTCCACGAGTCATAAAAGAGCCAAGGTTGCCTACCCCTGGTTTGGAGAAAGGCAAGATGCAGATAGATCTTTCTAAATGAACAAAAACCTGCATAGATTTGCTCTCTGATAAGACTAATGTTTTAAAAAATAATTCTAGTCAATATATAAAGACTTTATGATATCAAATATGTCCTGCGCTAAAAAAAATTGTAAGCTTTCTCTTTCTTAATACACAATATTTGTACTCCATTCAACAAATTCATAACTCTATTGCTCCTGTTTGCCATCATTCCTTCTCTTAAACTCCACACATGGCCGACAATATTTTCCTCTAATCCACTGAGATTACCAAACACACCACTCTTACCACCATTCCTCAGCAAGCTGTCTTCACATGGTGGCATGATGGTAAATATTCGGCCAGATTAAACCTATGGATATGCAGCCCTCACCCAGTCTTGCATGAGGCTCTCCATTCGTATAAAAGCATGCTTGTTTAAGTTTTTAATGTAGTTATTCTGTAATATTCAGAGATATTTCAGATCAGGCACCAATCCTCTATTGCACAGCAAATTAAGAATTCAAACTTCCAGGTCATTTGTGGGTAAGGCACCATGGATCTCAAACCAGAAACACACTTTATGGTACAAGATACACACACAGTGGTGGGATTCAAATATGTGAACAACCAGTTCTCTGTGTGGATGCTGCTTCGGGAAGTCCATTCTGGGCCTGGTCAACAAAAAATTAGCTACCGGTTCTGCTGAAGTGATGTGAACCGGCTGAATCCCACCACTGGATACACATCCATACATCTCTATATTCGTGCTATAATGTTTCTCCAGCCTAATTCCTCACTTAATCTGAAATTCCACCTCCCATTTAACTTCCGTATTCACACTACTATAAGGCTTGGCACAACAGCCTCCCTCTCTGATTATTAAAAGATGCAAGAAAGAAGAGAGGAATGTTCAAGTGATTTCCCAACCACCTCATGCTCCCTTTCAAAAGGTGGTACCTCCAGGTCATGCTCGGAGCTGGTGTCTGGTTCCGAAAAGGACATCCGAGAGCCAGGAGATAAAACAGCCGGCCACTGGTTTGCTTGCTACTGTGTGCTGACTGCACCCTCACTTCCTGCATGTTGATTCAAACAGCTCTTCCAGCTTATGTGCAAACAAACCACTTCCTAATACAGTTCCTGCATTTGCTAGTAACACCAAAACAGAGGCCAACTGGAGGAATGAAAATGAGGCTCGCATATCCTCCTGCTGACTTCTCATAATTCGTTCTCTTTATGAGCTAATTTTACATAAATACATATCTATCGTGTTATTCTCTACGCAGTTAAGCACTGTTACTACACGAAGCTGGGGGAGAGGGGGAAAACAAAAGTAATAAGCAAAATAAATTTAAGATAGAAGACAAAAGCAAAACAAATATAAATCTAGTTTACGTTATGACCGTTCCCTACACCCACTTCATATCCTTCCAATTTTGCAAACTGCCTTTCTTCCATCACAGTCATACCCAATTTCAAATACTGCCTTTTGTTCTTTAAACTTCTCGTCTCGCTCTTTAAATCTATTTTTCAATCTTCTCTAAGCACAATATTCTCAGTCTTCCCCTTTGTTTCAATTCATTCACTTTTCCTTCCTATATCTGAGAGTGAATTTTCAAAGGGGAGGAGGATTCCAAAATTACAGCTAGGATAACTTCTTTATATGGACCAATTAAAATTGCACATTTACTTTTTTTTTTTTTTTAACAAACAGACTTATATAGTCGCCCAATTCACATATAGGATAACAATATAGTGAGAAAGTTTTTACATTCCTCAGAATTTTTCTTCAAACTAAGAAAAACAGCGGAGAGAAAAAAGCATGGAGGCCAAGAGTTTGCAAGCGATAAATCACAGAATGGAATGCAAAAGGTGGTAGACTGATCTAAACAAATTAAGGCTATTTTGGATGCAAAATAATTTCAACGTGTACTAAAGGTTGCTGTGAAGAACAAACTAACAGATAATAGCTATTTTCTCACCTTCTGAAAATATATTGTCTTTATGTAATTATTTGGTTTGTCTTCCATACTGACTAGAATGCAGGTAAGATGGGGAACAAGGATGATCACAATACTTTTTTTTACTAGCTTCAAAGCTAATAATTAAATTAATGAATAATTAAGGTCATTACATCACTCCCAACCCAATGATCAGTAAAAAAAATCAATATATCAAAAAATATATATCAATACCTAATTGGTATATCAGAAACAAAACAAATCTACTATGAAAGGTGCCTCCTTATAACACTGATTAGATAAAACAAGTGCAATTATGCAGGAGTAACTAATCTCTCAGAGATGCCATCACTGAGGGTTCATTACTTTAGCAAAGAAATGTGTTGGCTTTTCGAAATTTCTCTTTCACATGGTCTATAAGGGTTTCTTACTCTTTTTTTACACAAAATAGCTTATATAGTGTATCTGCAACCCTTTTGTTATGTTTCTCCATATTATAAATCTTGGATTAGAAAATATTCCATAAATTCAAACATTTGTGAATTTATATCGGTCCCAGCTGGTATGATTCACAAAACTATTAAATCATTTTGCATAAACGTTTAATATTGGTTGTACTGAGGAAGCAAGCAGCCAGAAGGAACAGAGCACATATTACAGGGCAAGTCACACAAAAGTATAGATGTGGCCAATATCTTCTGGAACGTCACTGTCCTGTGAGGATGTGAAAACAAAAGGAATCTGATAGTGTGGCTGTGAAGATAAATGGCACTCGCAGGCTTAGACTGTATTTCTTGAAGTTTGGGACATGTATGTCTTACTGGCTCTCTCAGGCCTGAGTGGGACTCAGGCCAAGTCACGCTCTGAACCTCCTCTGTGCTTGCTCTGGAACCTTCTGATGCAATGCAGGAAACGAAGTTGCTGCTGACTCACCACACTTCCTTCAGAATCAGAGTTGACCTTAACACAGCGTAGCAGACACTGCAATGCAAAGGTCAAGGCAAGAGGGAGGAAAGCTCTTTAGCTAATGTTAGGACAGCAAAGCTAAGGCCAGCATGATTCTATATGGAAGAGTACAAAGCTCCATTTACTTTTTCAATTTTTTCCTGTATTCCGGACATAGAAGACAAAACTGTGCAAGTATCGGAAAAGTTCAAAAATCATGTATGTCGACAGTGAGATGCAAATATATCTAATGGAAGGCAATAAACAAGCTGTTCCATGTCTACTACATATTTCCTACAAGATTTATCTTAAAGATCTGAGACTGAGTTCTTCAGAGTAAAAATATAGATATACCTCCAAATACATATACAGTAAATTGAGTTTTTCGTAATAGGAAATACTATATAGCCTGGAAAGATACATTGGACTTACCATGAAAGCTCTCTTAGCATACAGAAAATTCTACAGAATCTCCTTATCACTCCAGAGGCAAGGTTAGCCTAGAAAGAGTTCTGATGCAGCTTCCTGTGGGAGGGGATAGTTCCTTTTTCGCAGTTTCATAATGACAAACCAGAAAGAAAGCCCACAAAAGAACACTTGGGAAAATTAGGGATAAGGGAGACATGGTTAAACTACATACTGTACACTGGTCCCACATATTGATGGGCCCCCCAATGTGTATTTCTTCCTATTTTGTACTATAGAAATATCTATGTGGTTTGGCTACACCATTTCCTGTGTAAAAAGAGAACCTTCATGATTAAATCTCATGTAGTATTTTCCTGCATCTGAGAGAAGACATTCTATAATATTATAATACAATGTGCTATAGCTGTCTTTAAAGAGAACCTTTAGACAGGAGGCAATTCTAGAAATGCCTAGGTAAATGTCAAAGGTGATCAAGATAGTTGCATTCCTAGAGTAGAAGATCAGAATTCTCAATGAGGAAAGTTTATTCTGAATTTTGTAGCCTAATTTGAAATAAACTTCATTCATATTAAGATCACATTCAATAAAACTTAACAGCCTGATGACACTGTTGAAAGAAATCTGGAGGCTATCTTAGGTTCTGAAATCCACTGTCTTTACTCAGGTATATTTTGATGTCTTATCTGGTACCTGGTTTGTACCAATTCTTCTCTAGTTTTGTCTTGAGGTGGGGGAGAAAGAAGAATGAATCATTTCCTAATCCTTGCGAAAGACTGAATTTATCTTGGTTATGAAGGCTGTATCTAGGCACAAAGTGATAGCACTCACTGGATGATACAGAACTTCTTTTTGGCAGAAAGCTCACCTATTTTTGACATAGGCCCAACCAAGGTTGTATATCAAGTGCAGGAAATCACGAGTCAAGGTGGTTCAAATGAATACACATTTATGGTAGGCTAACACTTTCTACAAAATCTGAAGTACTATTGGTCAAAGCAACTTGGCAATAGATAAGAATCAATGGAATTCAAGATGTGCTGGACTTAGATCTCTTGTGGACGCAAAGGGATTCAAGACTGGTGACCTGTTTGACCTCTCCCTCGGTCTCACCCTAGTCATCTCCTACATTATAGCTACTTTCCATTAAGGATAATTTGTACAGTGGCTGAATGAGGCTCCGCCTAAAGTTTAATATTACCCGAAGGGCCATGATGGAAACTAGTGGGTATTGAGTGGTCTTAATAAGGAAGCCAATTTAAGAATCTCTTAATGTGTGGGTGGACCACATGATGCTTATTTTCCAGTTTGAAGACTGAGAAGGAATGCTTGGTTGCAGATCTTTCATCAAGGCCCTTGCATAAGAAGAGTAGGAGTATTAGTGTAATTCCCTTTCTTTGGTTCATCTGCAGTGCAATCCAATCCTATCCTTCCCTCAGCAGTGGAAGCACTGGTTGGTAGTCAAACAACAAAGTGTACTATCATGCCATTTGGGAGCAGACCCTTGCCTCAGCTCCAGCCATTGCGATTTGTGACTCTCCTGGCCCTGCATCTGAGTCACTAAACTGAAAACTGAGGGAAAAAAGAGAACAAAGAAAGAAGAGGTAAATATGAAGAGGGACTCTGCATTTCATGAATGGTTTGTGAAGGCAGCTGGCTCATATCCTCTCTGGAGCAAGGCTGGACTGGAATTGAGAAAAGAACTATCCTTTCCTATGAAAATCTACATTAGAATTCTAGCCCAATGTCTGGAGTGAATGGAACGAGGATACCCCGTAGAGCAGGGGTCCCCAACTCCCCAGTCCATGGACCGTCACAGGTCCGCGGCATGCCAGAAACCGGGCCACACAAACAAGCGAAGCCCCATCTGCGGGATGCAGGAAGCACACAAAACCATGGCCCTCCGGTCTACAGAAAAACCTCTCTCCACGGAACCAGTCCCTGGTGCCCAAAAGGTTGAGGGCTGCTGCAGTAGAGGATGTCCTGGCTCTGCTGTAGGAAAAAGGTAAATACTAAACAAGCAAGAAAACTTCAGCTCAATGTATTATGATGCCCAGTGCTCAACATCATGAAATTGGAAGGATTAACCATTTTTCCAACTGTAGAAAAATCTTTGCACCAAGGGCATCTGATCCTGCACCATTTAAAGTCAGAAGCTCAGCCAACAGAGCTCCAAAAACTGATTATGTACAGCTTGGCTTTTTGACCCATCAAGCAGGGTTATTTTGCTCCCTTCGTGTAAGTCAACTTATTTTGCTTATGTTGTTGAAGATTACAGACTACAAAAGTTTTTCTCAGGAAAAGATGACATATAATTATGCTGTATATGCATACGATCCAGATGACACAGAAATGAGATAAGTAATTTTAGACGTGCAGATGCTTAGAACTCTCAAACAAGCTTGTGTCATGAGCCAGCTGTCAGGAAAAGACAATAGGCTGTATAGATCATTCAAGCTAGCATTTGTTATTGTAGCATTGGGAATAACAAAAGATACTCTGCCCCAATGAAATATGCAAGCTAATGGATACAGCATTAGAAGGAATTAAAAATAACTGTACAATGTTATAACGTACATCCACTTTATATCTAAAGGTGAAGCAGCTGATTCCCAGCTATATTTTATTCTGTTGAATAATATTCTGTTGAATCATTCACTAGCATACAAAAACAAAATAAAACTGATCCAAAATTCAATCTGCGTCACAGATATGTAGTACAGATATCAATATGTAGTATTCTACATTCTAATTTTACTGGTGCATCTTATTATGTTGCACCATGGATACTAGTATAGTTTGTCAAATGTGTATGCTTTCCACCTTCCAGTATTTATTCCAGATTTGTTAGTTATAAATCCTTCTCATATATTTGAACCTGGATTCTCTCCATATTTATAACATGTTTAATATAGATATTAGGTGGTGAATCAAACACAGATTCAGTAATCTTCTGAAGATTATTTTTAAGTATAACCTTCTCTTGAAGGGTTTCTATAAACTGACTATATTTCCTAGGATATACAGTGGTATTTAAAAGTTCTGGCTTAACTAAACTATACAAACATGTATGTTTCTAATCCATTGAAACAAATTCTGTTGTTTTTGCTTTATTCAAGTTACTTCACACATAAGGTGATTTAAGTAACTCTGAACAATCATACTATTCTATTTATCCTTGGGAAAAGGATATATAGGTTGTAAGAATTGTACCAATTGTGTTTCTTCCAATTTTTCACTTCCAGTTAAGACAGTTTCAGTCCAGTTGTATGGAATAGATTTTATGTTATCTATTTTGCTCTAGCTTATTACTTATAGTATTTTCTTAGCACTTTAAGGGAGTAAATATTCAGAATATTTTAATTAAAAAGTAAGAGTGTAGCGCACCAAATGCTGGTGTCTGCTTGGTGTAATTTTGATGACAATTAAAAACAAGATATGCTATAATATCTGATATGACTCAAATTCTTTTTTTGGGTAGGGCTGCGAAACAATCTGAGCTTGAAACTTTCAAAACCCAGAAAAAAATGTTTTAAATATTCCCAGCTGGTTTCTTCTTATATTATTCTGAGATTCCCAATGTCCCACAGCTAGTTTAAAAAAAAACAAAAAACCACCAGACAGCCATAGAGAGTTGAAAAGGACACATTAGCAAATAAAGCATGCATTACATGTTCCATCTCTATTATCATTGGCTG